AGGTGCGCCCCTGTCGTCAGCAGCCCTCCTGCCAGGTGCCCTCAGCTTTCTTGCTCCATGGCCGGCTAGCCTGCCGCTGTCTCACGTCTTTTGGTTCCATCGGTCTGCTGCCGTCTCTCTACCACCGTCTCAGCGCAGTGATCTCGGGTCCAAGGACATGCCCCACTCCGGGCTGTTCTCTGTCCTGGTGACAGTGAGATCCCCTTCCTGCCTCTGGGAGGGCTCATTTTAAGCCTGGCAGAGTGACAAAACTGACCAGAGCCCACAGTAGGGTACCGTGCACCTTATTTCCATGGTCCCCCCGACACACAAGGGCGCCCCTAACCATATTCACTTTATTCACAAGCTCTCCAACCACCTGGAGGGACCGCGAGCACCTTACGTCAGCATAGTCCCACCCAGTCACCCGGCGGGAGTCACGAGTCAGATCAAGAAATTTACTGCATCACAGGTGGCTTCCCCAGGTCCAGGGTCCCTTGAGGCCGCCCTCCACCCTCTTCTTCCTCGCACCTCACCCTGGTGGCCACAGCGTCCCCTCCCCAGTGTCTGCTTCCTGGAAGGACACAGGGTGCTGCTGTGGCCACAGCCAGGGTGTGCGACCAGAAAGGCAGGAGGGGGGAGTGCAGGCTGGCTCCCGCTCCAGCCCTCAGGGTGCCTTAGAGGCACCAGCAGCCCGCCAGGCTCCTCCCAGCTCTTTCCTGTCAAGATGAAATTCACATAAAACCAACCATTTAAAAGAGTCCCATGGCATTTGGGACGTTCACAGTGCTGTACGACCATCCTTGCCTCTGAGTTCCGGAACATTCTTAGCAACCCAGAGAAAACCCAGACCACCAGCTGTCCCTCTCCGTCCCCATCCCGCCTCCGGCCACCACCTGCACAGTGACTCTACGGCTTTGCATATCACTGTGGTGGACGTGTGGGTAACAAACGCCCGCCCTTCTACAACCTTCCCAGGTGCAGTCCAGTGACATCATGTCCAGCCACCATGAGCCGTTCCCGAATTCTCCCATCAGCAGCTCAGTGACCCTAAGCCTTGCGTCGTCCTTCCCGTCCCTCCCAGCCACTCCCGGGGACGCTAACAGACTCTGATGTCGACACACTGGCTTGTTGTAGTTATTTCAGACACGGTGGTGGTTGGTGCGCTGCGCAGTGGATCCCGTCTCGTAGTGACCCCCGAATGACATAGTGGAGCCACCAGGTTGGCTTGAACCACCAGCCTTTGGGTTAGCAGCTGAGTATGGATTTGCTGGATAATGATTTTGAATTTGCAGAAAAGTCACAAAGATAGTGCAGAGAGCTGCTGTGGGCGCCTCAAACAGCTTCTCCCATTTCAGGGCCCTGCGTAATCTTGGAGGGAGCCCTCGTGGTGCAGTGGCTAAGTGCTTGGCTGTTAACTGAAAGGTCGGTGGTTCGAATCCACCAGCTGCTCTGTGGGAGAAAGATGGGCTCAGGGCTGAAGAATGGTTAGTGGCTGCTTATAGGGACGGGGTTTCTTTTTGGGGTGCTGAAAACATTCTAAATAGTGGAGGTGGTTGATGGCTGTGAATGTACCAGAAACCACCGAACTGTACACTTTACATGGGTGAGTTTCATGGTGTGGGAAAGTATCGAGGAGTTCTGATGGCGCACTGGTTCAGGGCTTGGCTGCTGTCTGAAAGGTCGATGGTTTGAACCCACCAGTCACTCTGTGAGAGAAAGATGAGGCAGTCTGCTTCCATAAAGATGACAGCCTTGGAGACCCTGTGGGCAGTTCCACTCTGTCCTCTAGGGGCGCTGTGGGTCAGAATGGACTCCACGGCAGTGGGTGTGGTTTGGGCTTTGCTTCTGTGAAGACTGACAGCCTTGGAGACCCTGTGGGCAGTTCCACTCTGTCCTCTAGGGGCGCTGTGGGTCAGAATGGACTCCACGGCAGTGGGTGTGGTTTGGGCTTTGCTTCTGTGAAGACTGACAGCCTTGGAGACCCTGTGGGCAGTTCCACTCTGTGCAACAGGGTTGCAGAGTTAGAATCGACTTGTAGGCTACAGAAACTGAACATAAGGGTAGTGCGTTTGCTAGAGCTAAAAGACAAATCACCTAAGGCATTAATGCCTAAGTGTTTTGACTGCTAACCAGAAGGCTGGCAGCTCAAACCCACCAGCCACTCCTGGGAAGGAAGACTGGGCAATCTCCTTCCATAGAGATACCTCCTCAGAAACCCAAGGAGGGGTTGCTGTGAGTCGGATCCGACTCCACAGCAGTGAGTTTGGATGATTGGAAGAAACTGACACTGGTAGGTTGCTATTAACTAAACTCCTGACTTTATAGGGATGTCGCCTGTTTTTCTATTAACGTCCCCTTTCTATTCCGGGATCCAATCCATTTCACTGTCTTTCCCCCTCGCCCCATCTGGCAGTTTCCCTGCCTTTGTTTTTCACGGCCTTGACAATCCTGCAGACAGGCCAGGTCTCCTGGAGAGAGTTCCCCATCTTGGCTTGTGTGGTGTTTTTCTTATGGTTGGATGGGGTCACGGGTTTGGGGGAAGAATACCAGAGAGGTGAAGGGCCCGCCTCCTCACGCTGTATGGGGTGATGGTGGCCTTCGCCGTGTGGTGAAGGATGAAGGGTCCCCCGCTCTTCCTGTTTCCTCTTCTCATCTCTGTTCTCTGGAAGGAGGCTGTACATCTAGCCCACCCTCAAAGTACAGCCTGGGGGCTGCGATGAAGGGCCACCTCCTGGAGGCAGCGTCAGGGGTCCGTGAGCTTTGTCTTCCATCGAGTGTCAGGGTGGAGCCGTGTGTGTGTGTGTGTGTGTGTGTGTGTGTGTGTGTGACTCCACGGGCTCTGACCCAACAGTGTCTGCCTCTTGCTCAGCTCCTCCCAGCGCGGGCCACCAGGAGCTCTTCCAGGCAGGCTCTTGTGCTCCTTGACATACGTGTCCTCCCGTTTTGTGGCCACTCCCTTGCTCTCTGACTCTACACGGTGCTGTAGGCCCATCTTGTGTTTTATCTGCCCTGGTCCCAGAACCAGACCTTTCTCTGAGGAGCCCAGGCTGATCTGGACACTTTTAACTTCAGAAATCTCTAGAGTGGGCTTGGAAGGAGGGCCATCTGGCATCCTGGCCTGCCAGTTCTTCTGACCGTCAGCCTTGGTCCGAGTACACACACGCATGCACGCACGCACACACACACACACACCAAAAACACAGGTCACGGTGTTTCCCGCGCTTGCTACCTGTCGAGCATTGAACCCACCTTTTGCAGTTGTCGCTAACGTGGTCTCTCTGTAGTTCAGTGTTTGAGCGAGTGGGCGTCTGCTCTGCTCCCTTACAAAGGCCCGGGTCCCCCCACTGTCTGGGGCTCACACCAATCCAGACTAAGCACAGTGACTTTCTGTGTGAGTGCTCCTTGTCTAAACCAGCTGCCGTGAGTCAGTGCCAACTCCCGGCGACCCCAGGTGTGTCAGGCCCCACCTGGCTCCCCAGGACGGTCAGTGACTGACTCTTCAGATGAATGTCACCAGGCCTTACGTCCAAGGTGCTGCTGGGTGGGCTCAGACCTCCAACCTTTGGGCTGGCAGCCGAGCATGTTAGCTGTTTGCTCCATTGGGGGTCCCACCAATCACCCCTGGGATCCACCTGTAGACTGACTGAAAGGTCCTTCATTGAGCCAAGCCAGGGCCAAGTTCGTGTTTGTAAAATACGCATCTGACCACAGCACCGCACAGAAGAGCTGCTCCGGCTCACTGCCGACAGCACACGCCCCCAGGCCCTCGATGCTCAGGCCTGGCCCCAACCCGCCCAGGTCCCGGCTACTCTCACCTGGTCCTGATGCCCCCAGGCCTTGGCTACTCAGGCCTGGTCCTGACGCCCCCAGCACCCCAAGCCCCAGCATGTCACTTGCTCTGTCCAGGGCCACCTCTCCTCTGTCTTTGCCTGAATGACTCCTGCCCCTCCCTGGTGACTCTGCCGACTTGTCCCTCCCACGGAGCCCCTCCCTGACGACCTGGCCTGGCACCGCTGTCTCTACTGTGGTGTCCCCAGGTGACTGCTAAGCTCCCGCCGCCCCCGAGATGGGAGTCGGACCACACACGAGCAGGTGCTCAGGAAACACGTCCAAGTAGGGGCTTGGGGACAGCCTGCCAATGACCACACCTGCTGTCGGGCAGTGCCACCTTCCTTCAGCAATGTGGGGGCCTCAGGGCCCTTGAGATGCGGTCACGTAACGGAGTTCACTGTGGACAGGCCCCGGGTCCCGAGGGGGTCAGTGTGGCCCAGCGCCCATCTGGGGGCCTTAGGGCAGCCTCACAGGCCTCATTGTTCCTTCTCACCCAGGTGGTCAAGCGGATGCTGGCAGGGACCAGCAGCGGGGGCTTCTGCGGAAATGACGGCTTCATGCACATGACCCTTGCCACGCTGCCTTTCGGAGGAGTGGGTAGGTGTCACGGGGCCACCACGCCGTTATCGATCGGCAGTGGTGCTGCTTGACCATGCTGGGACAACGCAAAAAGGGCTAGGACGCGACCTGCTGACCTCCTCCAACCTCAGAGGGGAAGAGAGTCGCCACCCGCAGCCCAAGGCCGATTCCTCTGAGGCCAGACACGCTGCCACCCTCCAGCCGTTTACCAATTCTGACACCAACTGTCCCTCCCACGGCACTATTTTTTTTCCTGGGCTCAATAGTTCATTGCAGTGGGCACACAGAACTCACAGACGATACTCATGATGATGGGGTTTATTAGGGAAGCAACAGGCTACAGTTCAGGTTCAGGATACAATTCTTCCATCAGGACAGTATGCCCCCTGCTGTGACCTCAGACACGCCTCTCTGGTCTTTGGTGCCTCGGCCTGGCTTCTGCCCTGCTCCAGCAAGGGTGAGAAAGCTCTCTTAGCTCAGCTGATAGGTACATGGGCGCACCCCGCTCCACCAGCAAGCCTCCTCCCCAAGGGCACTAGCTTTCTCGCTCTGCGGGCCAGGCGAGCCCGCTGTCCAGCCCCGTGCCTCCTGGGTCTACTGCGACCGTCTCTCTCTGCCGGGGCCTCTCTCTCAGTGCAGGGATCGGGGGTCCAAGGACGCACTCACCTCCAGCTCTTCTCTCTTGATGGCAGTGAGATCCCCCCCTCTGCCTCTAGGAGGGCTCGTTTGAAGCCTGGCACAGTGACAAAACTGACCAATCCCAACACTGGAGTTCTAGACATCTTATTTGCATGGTCCCACCCAGTAATCTGGTGGGAGTTACAAAGACTATGGCTAGAAAAGCCATACCAAGTCATTCACTGCATTGCAGGCTGCCTCAGCATCCAGGAACAACAAGAGTGGCTCCTCCTCGGCCATATTACCCCCCGCACACCCCCTCCTGCTCCTCTCCCCCATCTGGAGAACCTTCCAGGACCTTCCAGACCTCTCTCTGTGCAGTTACGTACCTAGACAGACACACAGAAACACAATTTAGCTTTTAGGGTTTTTCACCATAAGGGTGACCACACAGCCCACACTGTGCGGGGCCCATTGGTGCCCCAACAGCATAGCCCACTGCGGGGCTAGTCATGGCCCCTTCAGCCCCTTGCTCCATCAACCCTGGCTCTCAGACCACTGGGGCCAGGGCGCTGCCCCTGCTCTGAGGGAGACCAGCGAGTGGGGACCCCCTCTCCCAGGGCAGCCTCTGACACAGCCACAAAGGACACCTCGCACTCCCCCCAACAACACCCTGATGGGCTGTGGTCGGGGCCACCAAACCTCCTCTGAGCCGACCTCTTCCTCAGTGTAGCAGCCTGGCTACCTGTCCCCCCGCTCAGCACCTGAGGAGATGACCAGCAGGGACCGTGGACCTCCCTGTGTGGCCTGAACCCTCCCTGGAGAGTGACCCGTGCTATAGGGACTACACCAGGCAGCACCGGGCTGGGCACTGCGGCCGCCCCAGCCACAGGGAGGGTGCAGTGCCAGCCCCCCCCACCCCCGCAGGCCACAGGGGCCTGCCTGGGGGCAAATGCCATCCTGCTACTCCCCCCAGGACCCTCAGGGTCAGGTCCAAATCCCCAACTCTCAGCCTCCTGAGGCCAGCCTGCGATTCTCTCCTGTCCCCACCCACTGCCCCACCCCACCGAACTCGGTCCAGTCCCGACCAGGTCTCGCCCGCACCCAAGCCTAGGCCCCTCTGGCTCCACACCCCTTTACCTGGATAATCCACCTCCCCCAGCCTCACTGACGCTGAGAAGCCCTCCCTCCCCAGGAACCCCAGGCCGGGCCACGGGCCTGGGTGCAGCCTAAGCCAGAAACAGTTCCTTCCTCGACTGCTCCCCACCCAGATGCCAGGGAACGCTCCCAACAACACAGCCTCTACTGTGCGCATGGGTCTAACCCTGCTCAATCCTCCCCATGCCCCTAGGAGGTGGGTGCCACTGTCACCCAGGTCATAGAGGAGGAAACAGGGACACAGAGGCAAAGTCACTTGCCTGGGTGGCACAGCTAGTGGGAGGCTGAGGCAGACTCCCCCTGGGTGGCCTGGCTCCAAGCCTGGGCCTGGGCCATCTCCCAGCCCTGCCCCAGTGCCCACATTTTCCCAGGATGGCTCAGTGCCGAGAGGAAAACCCAGGATTGGAGGGATGGTGGCCAACGGCCAACCCAGGGCGCACTGTGGGGGACTGGCAAGACCCCATCGTCTGAGCACCGGCTCAGTGGCCTGCCGAGGGCCTGATGCCATGTCCCGTGCTCCACACAGGTGCCAGCGGGATGGGTAGGTACCACGGCAAGTTCTCCTTTGACACCTTCTCCCACCACCGCGCCTGCCTGCTGCGTGCCCCCGGGATGGAGAAGATCTACGCCATCCGCTACCCGCCCTACTCGCCCCGCAACCTGAGGGTGCTGTTGGCAGCCATGGAGACCCGCGGCTGCAGCTGCACCTGCACCCTGCTCTGAGCCACCTCAGCACGTCTGGCTCCCGAGGCTGGCGGGGATGGGCCTGGAGTCCAGGACAAAGACGCGCTCTGCCAAGACCAGGGCTGCCTCCTCCCTTTCCCCTGCCCCCGTCCCCGGTGTCCTGCTTATGGGGGCAGGGCCAGCAGAAGGGCCCTGGGATCCGGTCCAGGCTGCACCATGGAGCAGTTATAACCCTGTCTTCTCTGAGCCTCAGTTTCCCCTTCTGTACCTTGGAAGTGATTAACAATCACCACCAACGGAGGCTGTTGCGAGGATGAAATGTGGGGGCAGGGTGAGAACCAAACCCACTGCTGTGAGTTGATTCCGACTCTGAGGAACTTCAGAGTAGAACTGCCCCAATAGGGCTTCCAAACTGTCATCTTCACAAAAGCAGACACCTGCATCTTTGTTGCTCAGAGTGGCTGGTAAGCAGCCAAGGGCTTTTGGAGGCAGAATACAGCTTAATAATAATAATATTATTATTATTAATAAATACGCGTTGCTGATGACCGCGCCACGTGTCCTGTCTTCCTCATGTAGGTGGGCAAGGCTGCTCACTCTTCTCTCCGGCCAGGTCAGCTTGACACCGAAGTCTCGTCTACCTTCAGACAGCCTCTTGGGAGCTCCTCCTCCCTATGTGGCGGGCCCTGACCACCTTACTGTCATCATGGCCCCTGGTGGACTCCTTTTCTGTGTCCTGTTCACTTTCCTGGCACCCACCCAAGACAAAATCCTGGGCCCCTGCACAACTACTCCCTCCACCCCTCCCACGTCCTGCTAGTTCCCAAACGCCACAGGGTTTCTCGACCTGCACACACGAATCGCTGTGCCCAGGGCCCTGGTCCAGGCCACCAGCCCTTCACCTTCTTGTCACCTCCCCTTCTCCCCAGCCCCCTTCAGGGTAGCTGCTGACCGTCCCAAAGCTCACTCAGACCTTTGGACCATGGCCGCCCTCAGCCCAAAACCCTTCTAAGGCTCCTGTGGTCCACAAAATTAAGTCTCGGTTCTTACGGATCCTCATGACCCTCTGCCAACACTCCAGCCTTGTGGGTCACCAAGCCACCAACCCCGCACCTTGGCCTGTCCTTGTAGTGCACTCGGTTGTCTCCCAAGGATCTCTGCACTTACACCTGGAACGCCCTCTGTCCCTGTTGGCCTGCCCAACTCCAGTTCACCGTCAGCTAGGACATCTCCTCCAGGAAGCCTTCCCTGACCACTCCTCAGCCCTCCCTACATACAGACTGCCTCCCACTCCTCGTAGCCGCAGCCTCTGGGGTCCCTCTGCCGCAGAATCCACTGGGAGAAATACAGACTGGGTGGCTGGCTGGCTCGGGTCCTACAATGCAGGCCCACATGGGTTGGGGGCAGTCATTAAACTTTAGTGCCTCCGTTTCCTCCTCTGTCAAGTGGAGGCAGCAACTCCTCCACGGAGGACCGTTGGGGGGGACTGAATGTGTGAAGTGTTTGGCACAGAGCCTGCACGGGTCCCGCGTGGAGTTCCAGTCCGCCTCGAGCCTCCTCGCCGTCATTATACACTCCCCGCTGAAAAGATCGGTGCACCCCGAGGACCACGGCGCCTGCTCCGCCAGTCCCGAGTGCTCAGACTCCAGGAAGGTAGGAGCGACAGAGGAAGTTTCTTAGGCGGAGAATCAAGCCAAGGTCCCACTCCCGCTGAGGTACCGGCGGGCGCGCAGCCAATGCTCCAGACACGCCCAGTCCGACCTGGAGCCACCCCCTACACCACGCCCCGGATGTCCCGCCTCATGTAGCCCGCGACTTCTCGCTTATTGGCCTCTCCAAACAAACATGGCAGCGCCCTGCAGGACTTCAAGCCCCTGCTCTTTTCTAACCAATCAAACAAAAGATGTTTCTGGATCCCGCCTCTTTCGGCGGTGCCTCTGGCCAATCAGATCACACCACAGAGGGTCAGTCCGGAAAAGGCAAAGCCAGTCGGCCCAATGGCAGAGTCCTAGAGTGTAGGGAAGCTCCGCCTCGCTACTGACAGGTCCGCTCGGCACGGGAAGGAGCGGCAACGTTTTAAGGTAGGTGTTCGAGGCTCTGCATTAGGCCAGGCCTGGGCAGCGCGGCGCTGAGGCGGGTTTTGCGCCCCCATTGGCACTGCCGGTTCGGCGCCCAGCCTTCACCTCGGCCTGCTCAGAACGTGTAGCCTCTGTGCCCTTCAGCGTGTAGCAGGCGGACCGGGGGCGCCCGCACCTCGGGGCGCATGCGCTGCCCCGGCCTGTCGGCTCCTGCGTCGTTGAGGTTAGAGGTCACGGGGCAGGTCCGGGGAGGTGCCGGGTTGGTGCTTGTTACTGAAGTAAGAGGTCAAAAGCAGTGGGCCCTCCCTGGAGGTCACAGGTCACAGTACCGGGCTCCAGGGTAATCCCTGGCAAATGTGAAC